AGGGGGGTAGTGTGTGCAGGCACGCCATTAAGGAAGCTCCGATCTGGCAGGTTTGGCAGCGTGGATGGTTCGGTCGACTGGCTTCGAGTCTGGACTGATTTGCTGAGGGTTTGTGGTAGCCAGCAGGGCGACGGAGTGCGTGGTGGAGCGGGATGGATGGAAGATACTGCCTGTGGTGTTTGCCTTAGTTAGTTGGCAGATTGGAAGGCGAGCCAGGGTTTGAATTTCGATTGCGGGGCTGCGGGAGTCGCGTGTGTTCTGTTGGCAGCCTCAGCGGAGGATCGTTTCCGTTGCTGGAGGCGTGTCGAGGAGTGGAGCGTGGCAATTCCGGTGTGGGCGTGGTACTCGCGGTGAAACAAGGGTGGGGAGGTGTGGTACAGATCGCAGTGGTCGCGGGTGAGTCTCGGTTGTGGAGCAGAGTGGTGTCGGTGAACTAGGGTTTCGGGGATTGCGAGCACGGATTTGCACACACACGCTCACAAAGACAGACACGGGAGCAGTTGCGGGGCAGTGGAATTCGGGCAGGCGTTTGGGAAAGCGCATGTGGGCATGTTGCAGCGCGGAGGAACTGGTGTGGTTTGAGGAGTTTGGTGGCGGTATGAGGGACGCTTGCAGGCAGTGGCGAGGGAACGCAGGTGTGGTTAGGGAATTGGTTACGGAATTGCGGGTGTTTCCGGAGTCTCCGGTAAGCTGGGGAGCATGATGGTTGGGTGCGAATCGTGTAGGGGATGTATGTATGTTGGACGACCACCTGGTGAAGGTGTGAATGATCGGATTGGTGGATTTCATGGATCGCTGTGAACGGTGTGTGTGTGTGTGTGGTGTGAGGGGTTTCGATTTGGTTTTGGGGCCAGGGTGTGGAGGGTTGCATGATGAGCAGCGGATTTGATGTGGCGGAGGTTGTGTAGAGGAGACGGTTGGGCGTAGGGCGAGGTTGTTAGTGAGTGGGAGGTTGGATGAGAAAGTTGGCATGCGGAATTGAGTGCAGAGGTGGTGATTTGTGGATGGCGGGCGGGGGTGCGAAGGCGGGGTGGAAAGGCACGTCGGTGTGGAGTGAGGGTAGGAGTGGATGAGGACAGGAGGATTTGAGGTGGTGTGAGTGGGAACTGATGATGTGGTGGTGGGGGGGCAGTCCAGTTTTGCACAAGACGGTGGCAGGGTTTGATGAGTCGGGAGTGTGGAGGAGGTATCGGTGGAGGATTGAAGACGCAGCAGCAGTGGGACGGATGATCGAACTGGAGCTGGAGGCGAGGACGTGCGTGGCGCAGACACGCAGGGAATAACATCAGGAGCGGAGTGGTGTTGGGTAGGGGAAGGAGGAGGAGGAGGAGGAGGTGATCTGCGTGGGTGATGTGAGACGTGGTGGAAGAGTGGGAGGAAGATGGAGAGCTCGGGATCGGGATCAGAAGTGCATCGAAGTAACGGTGCGTCGAGGAGGTATGGGATGCAGCTGAGTTCGGCGAACTTCTTGCCGGGTCCTGTGTCGGCGTTGCTGGAGTTGACGGGGCTGCTGCGCGGGCGAGGCAATGCATCGGAGGGCGAGCAAGCGGGCGGTGCATCGGGTGGTTCAGCGGGGCGAAGCTCGGAGGGTGGGAGAGGGGGCGACGGAGGCGCGGAGGTATCGATCAGGATATTTGGGGTGGGGGAGTCGGAGCCGGTGCAGGTGTCGAGTGGTCCAGGAGTCGCGAGTGCGAGGAACGGGACAGGGTCGAGCAGCCCGCAGTCGGTGGGCGGTGTTGTTCCGATGCGGATAGCGGGCAACGAGAGCAGCGGGAGCATAGGTGGGAGCACAGGTGGGAGTGTAGGTGGGAGCATAGGACATGCATCAGGCGGAGAGGAGAGAGGGGAGGGTTTGGACAACGAGGCGGGTGGGAATGGGAGAGAAGGCGGGTCGCAAAGGTACGATTTTCAGCAGCTGGCGCGGTGGATCGAGCAGGTGTTGCCATTCACGATACTGCTGTTGATGGTGTTCATTCGACAGCATTTGCAAGGTGAGTGGTGTGATGGGATGGGACGGCATGGCATGGCATGGGTGGGAGGAGGAATGGGAACGGTTGCGGTGCGGGGGAGACAGGGGCGGGAGATAACGTGTGGCGGTTGTACGTGTTGCAGGGTTTTTTGTGGTGTTCTGGATTACGGCTGTGATGTTCAAGGCAAACGACGTGCTGCGGAAGCAGACAGCGTTGAAGGTAAGAGCGAGGGTGGTGGGGGTGGGGGCGGTGATGGTGGGCATGACTTGTTTGTGAGGAGGTGCTGGCGAAGAAGTGGAAGTGGTTTTGAGGTGGAGGCGATGAGGTAGTGGGGTTGAGCGGTATGGTAGAGACGGATGAGAGTGAGATGCAGGAGAATGACGGTGGGAGTTGTGGTTGCGGACAGAACGAGCGGAAGCCTGGCGTGCTGGTGGCCGTGGGATGGGGACTGGTGGTGCACGTAATCGGGGTGTATTGGTGGTATAGTGGAGA